GGGGAATAGGGAGAAAGGTCACGGCCGTAGAGTCATGAAGACATGAGTCCCAACTTAATTAGCCCTGTGACTTCAGGTTGATCACTGGGTTCTCCGAGTCTCTGTTTTCTCCTCTGAAAGGCCCAGATGATTTCTATAAAACCTTCATCTCCACAACCAGCAATCATAACAGGACCTACTTAGGAGGGTGGTTGTAAGGAGCGCAGGAGCATTTACGACAAATGTGAGCTCATTCCCTCTCGTATAAAAGAGTTCCTCAGGCAAAGCTTATTGTTAAATTGGTGTCCCCCTGAAAGTTTGGTTTCCAACTGTTTTTCAGTCGACATCCCGAAACAAGACGGCCGGACACAGGCTCCAAGTGTGGGCTCAAACATGACAAGGGACGAGTTGGCCGTGTCTGGTTCTGTTGTGGACAGAGCAGCCAAAACCAGAACTGACTCAACGGTGACCCAAGTGTGAAGTCCTCTTGCTGTTTCCATTTGGTTCCATTGCTGTATGACTGACCTCCTTTAGAGTAACAGTTCCGTCCTAATTTGTATGCTATTTTATACGTTTCATGGATGTTTAGTTCCGTGACATCCAAACACCGACTTTGCTAGAAAGACTATGTTTTCATGACCTTTTATAGTTTTAATTTTCTGGAACACAAATTAGAGTAATCATTAGCAAGTCTGATTCCTACGTTCCGTATTGGCTCACTCTGTGCTTCCAAAGATACCCACAGAATCAAGTTTGGATAACTTACAGGAGAAATTCTCTTGACAAATTGAAAATATTAGATTAATCCTTTACCTGATGTCTAACAATGATTACATGTGTTTTGATATGGAAAGTTCTCCAAGATATATTGTTTGGGGAAAGCAGCACTATGCTGAACCCTGTAAAAACTACCTTGGTATAACTATGAAGAAAGATTAGAGACAGGCAGTTAGATAGATAGGAATATAGATGTTTATAGATTGAGGGGCATGCTTATATAAGCATAGAACATTTCTGGAACGATTAACTAGAAACTGTCAGTAAGGACTGCCCTGGGGAAGATAAATAAAGATTTGGCTTAGAAAAGAGACATTTCATTATGGCTTTTTTAGTACTTGTTAAATATTTTACCAGTGTATGCTTTACTTTTTAAATAAAAAACTGGTTTAACAATTATCATCATCATCATTGTATCATCATCAGCTATTATTTATTGAGTCCCTACCTACTGTAGGCAGTGTGCAGGCAGGCTTTGTACATGCATTAACGCTAATGTTCACATGCATCCTGAAAAGTAAGTGGAAGCCTGTGTAGGAATGCAGAGCAAATAAAAGCACAGAACATTTATTTTTGCTTTTAACTTGTGTTTCCAGAAATCCACCACACTTCACCACCAGTATAGGCATTTACTTTTGTACTACACAGAAAACAAGAAGGCTTTCTTCAACCGTGATCACAGATAACTGAGATGACAAACTTTGCCAGTAACCGTAACTCCTAGAGTTATACTTAAGGGAGGGCCTTCAAATAGTTTTTCAAGCCATTTTTAAAACATTATCTATTAGGACAATTTGTCATGTAATTTTCTGTTACTAACTTGGATATTAGAACCAGGATTTGCAAAAAATCCAGCAGTAAATATGTTCTTTAGTCAGCATGAATACACCATGGTTATATAGATTTTAAAAACATTGTAAACCTTACTCTCCATTTTTAAGTTTTAAGTGATTTAAGTTCATACCACCTCTTTTATCTTTGCCTGCAAAATTTGTGACTTGCCAGATGATAATTATGTGACCTTTGTCCTATTCCTAGCCGTGATTGGAGGCACACTCAGCGACTGTCCAGTGCCACAGAGGGGTGGCAGCCCAGGTCTTTAACTTTGATGTGGGGTGGGAAAAGTCAGGAGAGGTAATGGAATCAAACTCACAGACTGGCAGGAACGATGAGTGTACCAGTGCCTGACTGTTACCGCCAGCAATACAAGGATGCAGTAAAAGGGTAAACGTTGAGCCAACACCTGGAGAGGCAGGCTACACACTTCCAGGCTAGATTGGGCCTGGCTACAAAAATATGTCCATTTCGCATGTCCATGGTTGTATCTAAATTCTGCTTCCAGTTTCGTCATATGAACCCCAAGGCATGGCTTAACCAGAATGAAGTATCCTGAATACATTCATAAAAAGAAAAACTCGTTACTATATTAGTTCTGAATGATTGTTGGGAGCATTGAGCCAAAATCTAAATTTTAATCTATTTAATTCATCATGCTTTTGTATCTGAGGAAAATATGCTAGAAGTCAAAGTTAAATCCTTACTCTCACTCGGTCTTTTCAGGAATGATATGATATCAGATCTGTCCACTTCAGTGAGTCAAGTCAATATTTAAATTTTGATTGCAAGTTGAGTGAAGGAGGTGGGCTTGGAAATGATCATGGATGATTTTCATGTAGAGAAAGATGGAAGAGAATCTCAGGGTTTCTTTTGGAGGACTTTAGCTCATTTCTCTCTTTCAGAATAAACTGGAAGCTTTCCACAAGGTTCTACATTTTTCTTTTTCCCTCCCTCGCCTTGGAAACTCCTGTAACTTCTCCTCCCCCCACCCTTTTCCTCTTCCCTCCCTCTCGCCCTTCCTTTTTCCCCCTTTCATATAGACTGGGAAAGTGACACCTAAGTCTGAGTTGAAAAGATTTTAAAGGCCTCTTATCTCAAAGAGAAATAAGTAAATCCACTCACAAGGGCTGCCATATTACCTGAAACGGCCACATTATTAACTTGGGATGAAGCACCAAATACTCTGGTTAAAATCTACACCATATGCCTCCCTAATCACTGCAATCAATTAGATTCTGACTCCCATTGAGTTGCTTCTGACTCATGGCGACACTTCATGCCAAAGTTTCTGAGGCTAATACTTTGTCCGGAGCAGAGAGCCTCATCTTTCTCCAGTGAGGCGGCTGGTGGTTTTGAACTGCTGCTGATCTTGCAGTGAAGTTAGCAGCCTCATGTGCATCCCATATATAGTTTGTCATTTAGCAAGAGTACTGCTGATAGGTTATGTAGTATATGCAGCGTTTGGTTAATGGCTCAGCAGCTAACCAAAAGGTTAGATATTTGAGCCTACTTCCAAACTGATTTTGAAGAAAGGCTGTAAAATCAGCTATTGAACTCCCTACAGAGCTAATTCTACTCTGACAGACCTGGAACCTCCATGTTGGTATTAACTCAATAGCCTACAAGCAAGGCTAGGTAGGAGATGGGTTAAGAGTTATGAGTGTAGGTTCCTGTATCAGCAAGTTAGTCCCTGGTCACAGACCTTGAGCAACTGAGGAGAATGGTTTTTCTCAATGGGGCCCCTTGCAGACAAAAGGATGAGCAAAAGCGAATGGGCAGTTTTCATGTTTATCAATATCTTTCCTGAACACAGTTTTCCAAGAATCCCCGGGGTGAATAATCATTGAATTTCCAGAACATTCAACGAATGATTATGAAAAGAATTGTCCCAATATTTTTCCCCCTCACCTCAAAACTTAGGCAAAAGTGGATGGTATTTGGATACATGACGGCTAATTATTCTTTTTAGCGAGTAATTACATTCCAGTAAAGGACTGGATTCATTCCAAAGCGTATTCCAGAAGCGCAGGAAGATGAAGTCCATCAGCATATGTTAGAGCAGTTAGGGGGTGTGGGGTGGGGGATCTACTAAGCCTCTAAATGCTTTGCTAAGACTGAAGGGAAAAAAAAATGCCGCCTCATGTTTCTAGCCAATTGGGAACCCTGGCTATATTCCTTAAATAATGAAAAGTGTAGCCAGGTCTGCTGCATCTGTTCTTAAATTTAATTTAGTTACTTTCATATGCTTAAATGCATTCAGCAGCCTCGGGCAAAGTTCTGAAGAGGAAGGGATACAACGCTGAATCTTATAAATCTCCGTTCTCTCTTTCAAAAAATATAAAAAAGTCCTTGTACACATCAAAGGCTGCCACACCCGGCATGAACTACTGCTAGCATAAGTGGCTGTCTGTGTTTACAACTGGAAAGAAAACACACAAATTAAAACAACAACAACAACAACAACAGTGGCCAACTCTTGATGACCTCGCAAGTGCCTGATTAGAACTACGCCCCACAGGGTTTTCAATGAGCACCCCTGTCTCCCAAGCCGCTCCTGGGTGGTCTGGAGGCTCCAATCTTTGGTTTAGCAGCTGAACCCATTCACCATGGTCCCCACCTCTCTCAAAATGCCACCCACCTAGGGACTGGGAAAAGCAGCTCTGATTGCCTAGTAGTTAGGTGCTTGGCTGTTTACCAAAAGAGTAGGCAATTTGAACCCACTAGACGGATGGTCTGCAGGAACCCCGGTGGCGTAGTGGGTTTTTATTGGGCTGCCAAACCCACCATCAGCAAATTGAAACCAACAGTTGCTCTGTGGGGGGGGGGGAACTCTAGAATGCTCTACTCCCATCAAGATTTACAGTCTCAAAAACCCACAGGGGCAATTCTACCCTGGACTGTAGGGCTGCATGAGAAGATGCTCTATGGGAGAAAAATGTGGCCATCTGCGTCCACGCGGATGGCTGCTGCTGGTGCCCTCTCCTTGCTCGGAAAGCTTACAGGGTAGTTCTACTCCGCCCTATGGGACTGCCATCAGTGGGAATCCACCTGAAGGCCAGGGGGCAGCCAGTAGAGGGTACTTTGGAGACTTTAATACCGAGGTTGAACTAGCCTGGCCTTCAGTTCAGGTTAAACTGACAGTAATTGAATCGACTAATTGTAGATGGGCAATGAGACATTGCCAAATTTAGCGCTGGTTCTTCACCCTCAGTCAACGCGGGTGAACCCTGTTCTCAGGTTTTCTGATCTATCTCAGGTTTTCTGATCATTGAAAACCTGAGATAGATGTGCAAGTAAGATGGATGGCTGGGAATCAAGTTTTTCCATCCATGTTATTATGGAAGAGGCACAAATCACCTGGAGGCAGGAATGAGGGAGGCTACTTCCCTGGGCCCCCTGAAGCTTACCTTGGCTAGTTGCTCATGAATCTCGAGCAGGCTGGGCCGGTTGATCTTGGGCCCACTGATGCTGCCGGTGTTGCGGTAGTACTCAATCTTGGGCACAGCATCCAGAGTGTTGTGGCCAAAGGTTTGCAGGTAGTATGTGTTTGTGTGTGAATCATAGACATGAACGCTGGCATCTGTTTTAGCGGGTTCCCCACTTGGGAGGAAATTGTCATAGCACTCCTGGTTTCCAGGCCTAAAGCTGATCCTGAGTCTGTTTTGGGCTTCGTTCCCAAAAGAGGTTTCTTCGTAGTGTGGAGGGTCAGCATGGTCGCCGGCAGCTGCGCAGCTCTCCGGCCCCTCATTGATAACATTGACTTGGAAGCGAGTGGGGTGACTGGGGGCTGGATCCAGAAATACATTGGAAGGGTTGTGAAGTGACATCTTCCAAAGTGGATCTTTTTGAGGGGACTAAGCTCTCGACTTTACAGTTGTTAAAGACAACCAAGATACTTCTTCCTCTAAATAACCACCAATGTGGTTACATCGGGTAGCTTGTGGCTTTTGTTCTAGAGAAACTCAATAAAGAGATCCTTGATGTATTCTCTTCTGAACAATCCTCAGAATGGTCTTCCAGGCTGTCATTTAGAAAAGAAAATTAAACGTGTGCCAGCTAACACACATGCAAGTTCCAAGGAATACAAATACATGCAATAGGAGGGCCTTGAGGTATGAGGAGATATATTTTATTTCACAAGGCATACGCTTTTAAATAGAGTGTACTACAAATTACTTCTCCCCAAGTATTTTTTTAAGATGAATTGTTAAGAAAGAAAGGACTTGCTCAGTAAGTTTGGTTGCCTGAGCCATTCAATCTAAATAATCGGGACTGGCCTTGACAAGCTGAGTTTCCCATGGAGTCATTAACAGGTTACTTGTGTCTGGACTCTTCATGGACGTAATGCAGTCAGGTTGAATATGACTTTGGAAAAGATGTATGTAATTCAATCAATATAGCACAGGAGGGGTTTGTGAGAATGTATTCTCAGCCCGAAACACATAGTTCACTCAGCTAAATGCTGTGACCAGACGCTACATGCTGGAGGGGAATACGCGTTACGTTGATGAATAAAATGAAAATGGAATTTGAAAACATCTCAAAATTTTCCATTCCTATTACTGTATAAAAATCTGTATATATTCAAAGAATACACTTTGTTGAGAAACATTCTGTTATCTAAATAACAGGTAAGAAAAATATTCACACTTTAAAATGTGACATTAAAAATCTCTGCTGCCAAATGACGTCTCTGTAAATTCTTGAGTATTTTGCTATTATTTCAAATGTTCCATTTACTCACACTTTTCAGTTTGTTTTGCAAATGCAAATGAGAGCTTTATAAGATATATGAGCATTGGAACGAAGGATATAAATCATACCCCTTAATAAAGTTGCATGCTAAATTTAGGTAGAATAATCATGCTCTACTGACTCCCTTGAATGAAATATTCTCAATCTTCATTGAGTGGTTTATATTTAACTGTGCTGTGAAGAGCCTACATAATCCGTTTCTCAATCCCATGCCATAAGCCCTTCTTAAGGCAGTTGTTCCTTAGAAATACCAGTTCTTTATCAATGCCTGAAACTGGCTTTTCAAAGAATCATCTAGAAAGATGAGATAAATTAAAACAAAAACTTGCCTCCCTCATGCCGTCATTAAAACTATTTCTCGCAAGAGGAAACATTCAACTTCAACCCTTAAATAACCTTTCTTGGGGAATTGATGCCAAGCTGCTAATGATCTTTTAGTTTTTACAGAACATCCCACTTCTCTTCATAGACTTTTACACCCTCTTTTTAATCTCACACCTCAGAATCTAATTTATGGCATTAATATTAGAAGTGATTTCCCCCAGTCCAGAGATGTTTAACTTACCACCCAGGAGCCTTCTTCTGAGGAAATGTAATCTGCTTCAGCATCACTCAGGCATATATGGGGCACCTAGTTTCCTGCCCAGAACTTCAGGCTTCTTCTTATTGGCTAGCACCTTTATTGATAGGGAGGACTTTGCAAAGATTGGCTTGGATTCATGCTGTAAGCCCTGCCCAATCATTAGCCCTAAGGAACCTTAAGTACCACATCAACTAGTAACTGCTAGTAAACCATTAATCCTTTTAGGCAGGAAGTAAAGGAAAGTTTCTTTAATTCATAAGGGGAATTGGATTGCTCAACAGCTGCCATCTAATAAAATATGAGCATGGCTTCAGTTGTTTGGGGCTAAACAAATAGAATTCTTCATCATACTTCAGATAAGTTTTAGTGACTTGCGATGGTGTAGTAGGCACATCAAAAACATAGTCCCCCAGAGATGATTTCTTTACTTTGCAACTAAAAAGTGCTATTTGAAATTATTTCATCTTGCTTAGAGTAGACATCACCTTGCCTCTTCTCTTATGGAAAGGGATCAGATTGGGCACAGAATCAGTGACTGACTGAAAATAGTTCAACCTTGTGGGGACATGGTTCCACGCAGAAATCAAACCGCGTGTAAGTTTTCTAGTGGCTACGTGACTTTTTTGACTGAAACTGGCAGAACATTTCCATCAAATCTAGTTTCTTAGTTTTACGAAGGGAGAGCTTTTGCTCAAAACTGCAGGGTAGCAGAAACAACCTTTTCCCCTGCAAGCTCTCTCACTGGTTTTCAATCAGCATGATTGAGTCTTCCTCATGCCTTCTATGAACCAACCCGAGTGATTCCTGTTGTCAGCACTTTACTGTAATATAGTGGTTAAGAGCTGCTAGGCTCTAGAGTCAGAAGGCTGGATACAGATGCCAACCTTACCATGAACGGTATTCCTGGAGACTGGATCCAGACTGGGCACTGTCTAAACCAGCTGTATTAGTCTGGGTACTTTAGAGAAACAAATCCACAGAAACTCATGAATAAGAGAGAGTTTTATATAAAGGTTAAGTGCGCATCAAGAAAACATCCCAACCCAGTGCTGCCCAAGCCCACAAGTCCAACATTAACCCATTATCTCACATGTCTGACACCAATCCACAAAGTCCTCCTCCATCTCACAAAACAGACGCAAGGAAGGCCAAGTCAGTGAATGTGTGATCATCTCAGCACAGGCAGGGGTCTCCACACGGCTGCTCCAGCACCCAGGGCTGTATCAGGGTAGGTCCATGTGGCTTCTCCTTGGGGATGTCTTGCAGGAAGTGAGCCTTGCAAGCTAAAGCAGGGAACTGGCTAAGGCAGCTGCACCCTGGTCTGACCATCACAAAGCAAGAGACTCGAGAACTCGAAAGGCAATTCTCACTGAGCCATTTATCCCTCAGCTCTTCAATTAACCCCACATGTGTTTATCGGCCAGGTTGGCACAATTAACTACCTCCCCAGCGCTTCAACGTGTTTTACTCAGGTTTGTCATCACAAAGGAAGCCATACCAGAATAGATCTGAAGTTGCCCAACATAGTTGAACCAGGATAATACTTTAAATGGGGTGAAAAAAAATACATGTCAACTCCTGCTAGAAACATACTCTCCCTTTTAGAAAACCAGGATAGAGTGTGCCTTATAAGCAACCACCCTCTTGATCAATAGAGCCAGAAATGAGAGTGCCTTACCTCCAAGATGGCAGCAACGACACCCCTGTGAATGGCCTGGAGATCACCCAACTTCCTGAATCAAGGCCCACAAAGGGATATGGAGGCTCCTTCCAAATCTTTCACCCTAGGGTTTTGACCAGTGATTTTTCTCATTCTCGTTATTGTTCTGCCTCACCCAAGTTTTAAGAAATTGAGTCTCTCCCGGTTTTGCTTTGGTGGCCTGGATTGAACCAGCTTAAACTAGGTTGAAACTCTGCTGTGAACTCCCATGGTTTTCTCACCCTGCCCGTGGTTTAATTCCTTCATCTGTGAAATGCAGTTGTGGATGACAATGGCACGTGCTTTATTGTCCAATATCGTGAACACTGTCAGTGAGCGCTAGCCAGTCCACGCCAATGCTTAGCAACCCCATGTTGGAGAGCAGAATAGCCCTGCATGGTTTTCTCCGTTATAATCTTTACGGGAGTAGATCATTAGCTCTCTGCATCATAGAGTCATTGAGTAGATTTGAATCACCAAACTTCTACGTTAATAGTGAAGTGGTTCACATTGAACCCCAAGGGTTCTGGGTGTCGTAAGGATTAGATGAGCGTATGGGATTTAGAACAGTATTGGCTTGTAGATAGTGCATGCTTTTACTATTTAGCAAAAGTATAAATTGGTGACTTTTACTTGATCGCATCCCAAATTCTGGAGTGAGTCATGTGAGGTTGTAGGTTGTAGAGAAATAGTAGGTTGATGAACAGATAAGAGGATTCTAGATAGGAATCTGGATGTGCAGAGAGTACAACCCATTAGATGCTCCCAATGAGGCAGATATCTTCGTTATCCACATGGGTAAGTGTTTGGCTACCAACCCAGCAACTGGTGATATGAACCCACCCAGAGGTCCCTTGGGGAAAGGGCCTGGCAAGCTGTTTCTGAAAGCGCTGAGGCAGGAAACCCCTGTGGAGTAGTTTTGCTCTGTGGCACATTGGATCACCGCAAGAATGGATTCGATGACAACTAGATTGGTTTCTTTGTTCTACCTAGCACTCATTCTACTATTACAGGCCACCGGCACAAACCACTTGACTGTTTGTTAAAGGGCGATTCCCCAGTGGAAGACAGGCATAGGAATGGGTCACATTTTCGATTCATCTAGGTAGGGCTGGTTGTTCAGTTCAGGGGACAATAAGGATGGGGCTGAGACCCGAAACTAATCTTACTCACCAGACCGGGACAGAGCTTTGAACTGCCTTACAGTTATTCTTGGCCAGCTCTGTTCTCTCGTTCTTTTCAGGCCCCCATTCAGCCCATCTCTCCCTTCCTTTTCTAGAGCCCTCTTATTTATTCTTTAACCATTTTTTCTCCACCAAACAGTAAATATTTCTGAGGCCAGTCAATTTCCTCCCTCCTTTCTGACTGCCTGACTATTGGAGCGCGAATTAGGTTCAGTCTTGGTCTTACATCAAGCAGACCCGTTCACGCTAAGCTTTTTATGCCTACCTGAGAAATGAACGTCTCTGTTCTCTATTAAGAGGATTCAGACATCCTGAAGCAGATGGGAGATGGTTTGGGGATACGGATGAAATGACACCATCTATAAAGCCAACCTGAGTCAGAACGGACTCCATGGCAGAAGGAGAAAGCCGACCTTGATAGGTAAACCCGATTTAGGTCTTCAGACAGGTGGGAAGAAAACAGAAGCAGTCTTTTAAGGAGGTACGGCTCTCTCCTTTTTTCATATTTCCTGATAGGGGGTTTGGGAGACGGGCAGTTGGACCTGATCCAATCGTGACAATGAACATTTAGAAAGATAGGTATTTCACACATTTTTACGTGGTATCCCTGCGGAAACCATCTTTTTCTCTATCTCCGATGAACACAGATGCGGACCTCTCCATGCTCATCTCTCCCCCGAGAGTTGATTGTACACAGTAGGTGCTCAAGGAAAGCAATGGATGATGACATTTTTGGTTAATAGAGTTTCTCTTTAGTCACTAAAATTTCGTGGGACTGCAAGTAATATGTGGCAGCGTTGGTCATATGTGAAGGATTGTGGAAACGGAATTTCCAGGAATACATTAAATTAAAAAAAAGAAGAAGAAAACATCAACAACAAACATGCTCATATCTCATAAAGTTTTCTCATCTTTTGGTTTTGCACATCTTTCTTCTTTTAAAACTAACCATCTAACCTTGGTACATTACCAAAATTGAGGGGCTTGGAGGGCATCTTCAAATGGGCATATGGCATATGGTATTGGGGTGCGTATCCTAGAGTGCACTGTACAATCTTAGGTCACGGAGGAGGTGCCTAGCATCTGGGCATATGCAACTGTTACTGAGCCCAGCTGAGCTTGGCTCAAAGTGGCGCCGTTGGGCCAAACCACTAGCTGGCTATACTCCTCTACCCACTGGGGCACTAACAGTCTCCTTGAATTTTGGATCGGGTCCAAAAGAGCCACAGCCAACACAGATGCATTCTGAATCTAGCAGAAGCGGGAGGCATCAGGGAGTCTCCCGTAGACACTGGCTTTGGAGAGTCGTAGTCATGAGACAGACCATGTTCATAGATCTAGAGCAATGCAGCCGATAGATAGAGTACTGAGGAGTATAGCTGTGTTTGTGAGCAGGGATTCTGATGCAGAACTGTCAACTTCCTTCTGCCACATCCCCTTGCCTCGGTGGCCTGAGGACGTTATTCAATATCTGTCAGCTTTAGTTCCTCATCTCTGGAATGGATATAACAATAAAATGGAGATAGCACTGCCAGGTTCAAAAGACTGATAAGAGTATCCTATCACATAGCCTCTGGAAAACATCTAATTTTACCGCCAAATCCCCCCACCCCAAATATTTAGATAAGTCTTTCCTTTATGGTATGGTTGTCGGTTTTGTGTTCTCAAATGGTATAAATATTTTTGTGTTTCTTTATATACTGTTAGAGTCTTCCATTTAGTAAGAGCCCAAATTTGTAGTGGAGAAGGACTTTGGAAATACAGCGAGGACTGGAGTGGGTGAATAATGTATGAGAGCCCAAGGCCAAACCTAAAGCACCGGGTTTGGGGAAGTTTGCAGTCTCTACAGCTGGAGGTCTCACACCATTTTGAGCCTCGCCAGACATTCAAGCTTCATTTTAATTTCCTTATGTTACTGCCCTAATGCAGGTTCATTGATAATTACTGGTGATTGGAATGTGAAAATTGGAAACAAAGAAGAGAGATTGGTATTTGTAAAATATGATAGAAACTATGCTGGAGAACACATGATACAATTTTATAAGATCAATGACTTTTTCATTCTAATTATCTTTTTCAATAACAAAAACGGCAGCTATATACACAAAGTCCTCACCTAATGGGATACGCAGGACTGTAATTTGCTACATGTGTGGAAAGAGACGATGGAAAAAGTTAACATCGTCAGACAGAGCCAAGCCATCGGTCAACTGTGGAAGAGACCATCAATTGCTCCTGTGAGCATTCATGTTGAAACTGAAGAAAATGGAAACAAGTCCACCAGTAGCCAACTACGACCTTGAGTATATTTCACCTGAATTTAGAAGGCCTCTCAAGACTAGTCTGTACACATGGCCCAGATTTGACAGTGACAATCGAAGACCAGGTGAATTATGAGATGTCATCCCAAACAACATGCATGAAGATATCAAAAGGCCAGTAAGACGATAGGAAAGAAAGACCAAAATGGACGTCAGGAAAGATTCTGAAGCTTTCTCGAACGTGCTTTCCCTACAGCACATTAAATGATGAAGTGAAAGAACCGAGCAGAAATTTCCAAAGGGAGACTGAAGAAGATAAAGTATTATAATGAAGTATGCAAAGACCTTTTCCTTGAATGGCTGTCTGCTCTGCCTGGGCTTCCTATATTGGAACTACTCCCCACCTTTTTCTCTTCTCTAAACAATCTACTGGGGAGCCTTACTGATGCAGTGGGCTAAGTACTGGATTGCTAACTGAGAGGTTGGTGATTTGAACTCCCAGCAGCCTGCTTCTGTGAAGGTTTACAATCCCCAAAATCCTAGGGACCTGTTCTATTCTGTCATAGAGGGTCATTGTGAGTCAGAATTGGGTAAGGGAGAATCTAGAATTTTTATTAAAGCTTATCAATCTGGACTCCTGATTTATATCAACTAGACCATGTAATTAAGTCTGGCTGTATAGTTGGTTCAGCAAACTGAAAAGTTGGCATTTCAAACCCACCAGCGGCTTCTTGGAAGAAAGGTGAGGCTACCTGCTCTCATGAAGCTTTCCTGTGACAGAAACCTTCGTGACTGGATCTATGCTGGCTTATAGGGTCCCTGTGATCCAGAATCCACTTGATGGCACTAGGTGTTTTTTTATTTTTAGTCTATATCATAGTCAGGCAAAGGGATTTTCTTCTAATCTGAAAATGAAAGAAGGGATTTAATTAATAAAGAACCAAATAGAGGCTCACAAGGTTGGAAAAATTAAATTTCCACGTAATGTAAGGTGACCAGATTTAAAGCAGGACACCATTGACTGAGGGTGGGATGGGAGGGGTCTGATTAAAAATTTGGTCTATATGGACCAAATAGACTGTTCCCTAGCTTGTCGTGCATTCTTTCAAAAAATCGGGACTTTTAAAAAATGCCAAAAATCGGGACTGTATCACCAAAAATGGGAGATCTGGTCACCTTAACATAATGGTTTTTTAAAGTTCTCACGAAGACCATTCAACACAAAGTAATAAAAACATAATAAAAATCTCTTCAACAAAAGCTTATAGTGAATGAACTTGGAGACCTTAAGGAATTCCTTTAAGATATGTATAAATTTTACTGAAAAACTATGCTTGATAAGAAAGCGTAAGTTTTCCCCATATGGGACATTTGGTTATGATTTAGTCCCCTTGCTATGCCATGTGTAATCCTTTGTTGATGGTTTGCATTTACACACACTCCTGCTAATTTTCATCATGGAGGATACATCGTGACTGTTGCCTCTCATTTTGAGTTGATCACACTTGCCGGTGCTACAGACTAGCTTTAGGAAAATTGGTAAACATTTTATGAACTCGGTGTATGCTTTTGGGATAGTATAAAAACATCAATGGTTTGTGACCTCATCTGGGACCTAAATTCAAAACAATCCTCTAATAACTAACTCTTCTTCCCTTTGCAATTGTTGTAGTGAAAGTTCCTGACCCATCCACCTCAAGAGACCTCTCCAAACAGGAAATCAAAAGCAATAAACTAGCTGATTCAGTTATCAAATAGGCAGCTTTTTCTAGCTGCCAAGAATGTGTTGGTCTTGCAGAATGCTTTGGTCAACAATAAAGAGGAGGAAATTAAAGAATGGTACACAACCAGACCGGTGACTAATAGGGAACCTAACAGAGGTCTGTGGTTCCTTCTCATTTGATAGCATTACATTTTCAGAAAAAAGCTATCAAGAATAGGAATGGAGAACCTTACAAAAATTTTAATTGATTTTGAAGTCACATGATCTCTTATTGCCTTACTTATTCATAAGAAGCCTTTGACCTAGAATACTAAGACTATAAAAAAACATAGGAGCTACTTGTCCCACGTTTGGGCTCTTAGCCTGGATCTTAGATAGATTTCTCATAATTTTAAGAAAAATAAGTCAGACTTATTGTTGTATGTGAGTGTGTGCATATGCGTTGCCTGGCTTTGTATTATTATTTATTATTATAAAATGGAAAATTATAAGGAAGAATGCAGGCAGAAACCCTGTATGTCGATTGTTTGTACTAGCTCCAAAGACCTGGTGAGTGTGTTGTTCTCACCTCTTGGACAAACTGTACGATGTGTCACATAGAAAAGTTGATGAGATTTTGTCTTAAGGATT